TTAAATATGTAATAAACTACATTAAATATTTAGGGGAACTTTATTGTCATATGTTAAATACAATATCAAACATATGATATTTTATAATTATATTTAATTTCAGTAACATATTAATGCATTATCATTTAATAAATTTAACAGTGACAAGAATTGAGTCTAACAAAATAGGTTAATTTCTCAGCACTAGCAAGTTTGGGAAAAAACATTTATTGGAGAACCAGAAATTTAATAAATTAGATATTTATAAAAAAATTTGATATGGCAAAATTTTATGAATAAAGCGTCAGCGTAAAATTGAATAATAATTTAATTATTTTGGAATTAATAATAAATTAGAAACAAACTTATGAAAAAAATAATTAATTTATCAACAATTTATATGAAATAATTTATAAAAATAAATCAAACCGCTAAATAGAAATAAAAACAAAAACAAAGCAGGTGCCGCAAAGACTTTCAAATTAACTCTTGGCATCCGTTACATTTTTTCTTTGTATAGGAAGAGGAATTTTATATTAGCTAGGGTTAGGGTGTCGGCCTATGCCTGTATCACCAAGCATTTAGCAGGAAGTTAATAATGGAGCAGTGAGCACTTGGACAACGAATAACGTATAGGTCAATTTAGAGAAACAGTACTGAAAATTACACTCCAAAATCATGAATGGAAAGAAGAGAGAGAAATACGAGAGATGAGAATATGATCAATGTAATTCATGATCTAATGAAAAAGGAATAAAGAGATAAAGAAATGAAATTAAAAGAGAGATGAAAAAGAAAGGTTTAATTACTTTAGTCTTTATACATAGATAACATTTAAGCCTTAGTTTCAATATCTAAAAAAATACTCGTATTAGTCTTTAAATGGGCTAGGTCTTACATTTTAGTTTTTTGTCATTATACAATTTAACTTAGTTAACGCGGTGATGGTGTGTCTTGACTTGTTTGTGTTTTACATTTTAATCTTTATATTATTATTATTATTTTAATGTTTTAGTCCTATTAAATTTTCTGTTAGATTTTCTACTTTTTTTTTTCCTTATCAACGCTTCTTTTCTACTTTTAATTTGTGAGATTTTGTTTTTCCTCCTAAATCTTCTCACATCAGATGTGTTTCTTGAACAATTTGAGGTAGCTTGGAAGTAGTCATTTGTGAGATCATCTTTTATCATGCTAATTTGTGATGTAGGAAAAACAAATAAAACTTCAACCTTCATTTTTTCAAGAGTTTGATGCAACAATATTGAAACAGTGTAGCAAGTCACTATCACTGCAAATAGTGTATGTACAAATTTACTTGTAAGCTACCTCGTCTTGTTCAATAAACATGCTTGAAATGTGCATTCTCCATACTTTTAGATTTGGGGTCAATAAAAATTTAGTTGATGCAAGACTATTTAAATTTTGGAAGTGTTGATAAAGAAAAAAAAATGATAAGGTAATAAAGGGGGGAAAAGTGTTGATAGAGATTAAAACATTATCAAAATAAAAATATTCATATTGGAACTAAAACATAAATATTATGCAGGTGTAGAGACAAAATGAAAAAATAGTGCAAGCATGAAGATTACAACACACGATAAAAACAATGTTACATGATATTTGACAACAAAGATTAAATCATAAAGATTGTGTTCGTATAAAAATCAAAATAAGTAGTTTTTAGATGTAAGGACTAAAAGATAAATTTTGTGTTAAATAGGGACAAAATGAGTAATTAAACTAAGAAAAAAATGAGAATGTATATTTCTTCTTAAAGAAAATATTAGTCATTTGCACAAATTTAACAAGTTAAATTTTTTTTATATCCTTATTTTTTTTATTTTTTCTTTTTTGTACAAATTATATGTATCATCTGTTGAAGGTAAATTCTTCTTGAGTTAAGTAATACTATTGTAAGTAACAAAACTTCTCTCATTAACGCAATTGCATATTTATAACTTAAATATGAGATTACTAGTTAAACTAAAACAATCTCGTGTCAATTAATTCTGCACTCCATGATACTTGTTATTGAATATATTTTATGTTTTTAAAATATTAAATATTTTTAATTATATATATATATATATATATATATATATATATT